TTTTTTAATATTCTTATATATTTATAAGAAACCTGATAAATTTAAATTCTCTGCCTTCAGTTCTTTTTTGCATTTAAACTCACTGCAACAGTGGGTGTTCTATCTGTGTGTGCAGCTGTCAGTGAAAACAGGCATTCTATTCTGTGTGAATTTTCTTGGGTTTGGGTAAAGTAAAGCTGAAAAGGAGGAGTGCCATTGCAAAGAGATCATAAGTCAGGAAAGTGTACAAAGCTGAAGATAAAAAAACCATCCACAATTTCTTTGTGCCTTATTACCAAAGCTTCAGATTTGTATCTGGGCTCTGTTCTGTATTAGAGCTCTTGCTGTGACCTGGAGGTAATTCTGAGCAGTGTAATGCTCTGACATGTGTCAGGTTTGAAGGAGGAGTGACCATCTGTCACTGGCTCTAGCAGGGATGGTATGATCATTGTGGGGCTAATGATTGTGATGTTTTTATTGTTCTTGGTAATACTTTGTTTGTTTGTTTGTTTTTTAATCACATAATGCAGTTCTGGAACCATTTACATTCAGAACTGAGAAACCAAAGTCAACAGTAGGTAATGATACTTGCTTACTCATGTCTTTCCTCTTCAACACAAATCATTAAGAGCAGACTTGCAAAAACCTGTCACCTTTCTTTGTATGTGCCTTAATAATTTAACAGTCAAGGTTCTCTGTCTCTTTTCTTATTTTCTACAAAACAATTGAGAAGGATCCTTGTGCCTTGCAAGCTGTTATGCACATAATATAGGACTGTTTCCTTCAATATTTAATGGTCAGAGGCAGAAGGGATATCAAAACAGGATCCTAATTTATATCTTCTCAGTCCTCCTGTAGAGGTGGCACAGTTCTAGTTAGTCATATGGTTTGGGTAAGTAGAGATGCATGCTGCAATTTCTCTTTCTCTGCTTCCCTTCCCTTCTAGTTTTACTAAACGAAATTCACACTTTCATAGAAGTCTGAAAAATAATTTCATTTCAGTCAAGTCTCAATTCCACTGTCAGAACAGAATCACTTCAGTGATCTTGGGGTCATGTGATTCCTTGTGGCAGATCCATTTGACTAATGCCTTTTAATAACTTGGATTTTGCAAATCATTCCAGTACAATCTCCATTACAACACATTGGTGTCTTTGTATTTGAAGCTACTCATTTTGTTTTCTTTTATTTTTTTAAGTCCTCTTCTTCAATAGAACCAGTAGTTCTGTCACATGCTTAGTTGTTGACACATCACAGAATCTTATTTCATTACCCTATAGCCTGATTTTATTCCAAAACCCCCTTGTCTTTTGCATCACTTCTATAGAATATCTCTGTTTCAAATCCTTGCTCTGTTTCTGTTGACTGTTATGGGTGGCAGTGGACAGATTCCTCAGAAGATTTTAGCACAGTGTAACCCATTTTCTTTCTTTCAGCTCCTAAAGATACACGTCATGGGCCTTCCAAACCTAAAACCTCACCCAGTCCACGTGTTCCTCCAACTAGAGCAAGTAAGCCCAACTAGAGCGAATAAGCTTATCAGTATTTTTCCCCTTTAGTGCATGAAAGTTTTTCAGTTTGAAAATTGTCAGAATGGATAAGTTCTCTGAAGGTACACAGAGACTTATTGAACAGGCTGTTTTACTGAATAAACAAATTTTGCTATATAGCTGTCATGGAACAAGATAATCAGCTAGATATTTACACATATCAATAACTTGTATAATGATAGGGATGTGGAGGTTAACTCTCATCTTGAACCTTTACACATAAAAAATATGTGTCTTCATTTCCATAAAATGTGACAGAGATATTTGTATTTTCTAGCTACTCATTTACAAGTGTAAAATTGCAGCAATTTCTTATTCCCAAACCTTTGGAAAGAGTTCTGTCCATTTGTAAATTAGTGGCAAATTTCCATGTTTCTTCTGCTTTGACTGCTCTGCTGAAGGGTTTTTTTTTGATGCAAAGTTGACTAAAATGAGCAGCAGATTTTTGGAATATGAAACATTTGAGAAGTGCAACAAGGGGAACTATTAGAACTGCATCAGTTTACTCTGTCGAAAGCTCTGACTGACAGAGCTGAAAGCAGAGGAGAGTTAATCCAACACTCCACTGTAAAAGTCATTTTGTCTTTAGCCTCTGCACTAACCTAACACTGATTACATTGTTGGGAGACCTTTGTGATTGCTTTCAAATAGAAATTTTTTTTTACTTCCTAAAAAAATTTATTTTCAGAGAAATAATCTCCTGTCAGGAAAATCAAAAGCCTTACACTGAATCATGCTTCACAATAACATGTTCAAAACATTGCTCATCTTCACAGGTCCAAAAGAAAGCCGACGAGTCTCTTCCAAGCCCAGAGCATCACCAAGTCCAGATGTGCTACACCAAAAACCTGGTAAATACATTGTTGTTGCCTTGTGTTTGGATATTCAAACTTTCTTTTGGGTGGTCTGTCATCAATGAATCAAGTGTTGATTAACATCTCTTCATATGACAAAGAAATAGATTTCCTAATGATCATTAAACGTGTTTAAAGGAAGATAGAGCTGATTTGTGTTTTTAATGGCTGAGTTTTGATGAGTTGTGTATGTTTTTCAGCCACATGACAGCTGTCACTGATGAATAATCTGCAGCAGATTATTAGGTAGACAACATACAAACTTTATAAGAATGTTCTTGAAAGAAACTACATCAAAAGATGATTAGAAAATAACATACTTGAGGGCCTCTAAATATCTGAAAGTCAAACCTGTCATACGTTTGTGTGCTCTGGAAATGGCATTTGACCCTTAAAGATATACTTCATAGGGATTTGCATACTTGTGAGCTGCCAAACCTCTTAACTCCTGATGGTTCTGAAAGCATCAGTCAAAACTTCCTTTTAAGTGAGTGTATATTCACTAATTCCACCAGTAAAGAATTTTTTCTTTTTGAAATTAACAGATTTAATCGTCTTCCAATCTGAAAATAAATCAGTCATATAAAAGGTTGCACTGTTACCCTTTTGCTTTTCTTTATTGCTAATTCTGTGTATATTCTTGTTTTTTATGAAGTTTTGACACCTACTCCCTTTACAGTTGAACAACCAAAGACAGAAACAGGTAAAGATGTTACTGGTCATTGTTATTTTCATCCTGCTGCTTCTTGGACCAAAGATTATAGAACATTAACCTGTTTTTCACATCATCTGTTTATTATTTGTATTTGTTTTCTCCTTAGTGAACTTAATTCTACTCAGTTCCAGGTATTGAAATATTCCTAGCTATTTTGCTGTCTTCACAAAAATTTTCTTTACTCTCATACACATTGTAATTCTTTTGAAGCTTCTAGGAGACACGCATGCCATGGGTATTGCATTACAAGCTCTGAAATGCTGATGGAAACATCTCCACTATGGTTGTTTGTGTTCTTTCAGTTTTTGTTGCTTGACTCCAGACTTTGCTTCCCTGATCAATTTTTCACCCATGTTTTCACCCATGATTACCTTTTCCTTTTAAACTCCTATAAGCATCTGACACTCAAGTTTTCAACAAAGTCTTTTCTTTCAGCTCATAAAGAACCACAACACACTCCCTTTAAACCTAAAGCAACTCCCATCCCAGATGCTCCACACAGAAAGACGGGTAAATTATCTGGTCTTTTGTTATTGATTTTTAGGTATCTATATGTTAAAAACAAACAAAAAAATGAACTTTGTAACTATAAATCTCTGAGGATAAATAGCTGTGGCTTTTTTAAAACATTTCTTTCTTCATGTATACAGTCGAGTGCTGAAGGTTTTTTTTTTAAGGGGGTGGGAGGCAAAGGGAAAGTCTCTTCATTATTCTGAGCATTTATTGGTATTTTTTCCAGCAGAAATCTTTCCATCCTTCCATGAACCAGATACCACTATGATCCCTCATATTCCCGAAAGAACAAAAGCAACTTTGGGTAATTGTGTATTTAATAAACAATTAATCTATTTTCCATTCTAGTTAGAGAAGATATTCTTAAAGAAAGCTCATTACACCGTATTAAAAACTAACAACGAAGTTTTGCTCTGCTTCTAGATATTTGCTTGATTTTTGGTCTTGTTAAACGTGATAATGCAGGAGCTCATTTGCTTTTGAAGGTTCTTTTCCTCATTTTCTAGCCTTTCCAGTCAGGATGATGTAATTCCTTTAGCTGCTATATAGTAAAAATGGACTTCAAAGAGCAGGCAGTGATTTCTGTAATTTCTGTATCTCAGGTATGGATATTGTCATCCTAAAATACTCTTCTGCTTCACTCCTCATGGTTTAATTTTACAGAAGAAAATTGCAAGAAAGTTATAAGGTGTCAGCTGTAGCATAACATATACCAAAACAGATCAGCTATGTGACACTCCAAATCAAATACTGGTGCTTAAGACCTCTTCTCTGCTAACTTCTAGTCATCCATGTTGGGAAAACTTGCTTAAAGATATGAAGTGTTAGCTGAGAATTCTTTCTTCTTAACTTCCATGTCAGATGTTGACCAAATTAGGGTCAATGAATCCAGGCAATATTGGGCAGGAGGAGTGTTGCTTGAGCAATCTTTGTTAATAATCAGTTCTCTGTCCCCAGTTTTGGAGATAGGCATTGACCATGATTTTTCTGATAATTAAATGGTATCATTAATGAAGTATTAATAGCTATTTAATGATCTTTGAGGTATGTTATTTCTTTTTGAGGAATAGGAAATGAAAAATGCTTTCCATCATGTTCCTATTTTAAAATATATTCCCTGGTTGATACTCTAGGTATTCATCTGATATTTTTTAATGCAGCTTTATGAAGTTTATGTGCCCTGTTGTACACATCTGGGGCTACCTGATGCAATATTCATATGCAGAAGATGGTTCTTCAGAGCAAGTGGGATGAGAAATGCATGGGCTAAGGAGGATACTTTGCAGACCTCTCACTTTGGTGTAGGTCACAGACTAGCAAGTGCTAAAATAACCTTTTGCAGCAAGTGATTCCTACATGGCAATAATTTCTAACTGAACTGTATGAAGATAGCATGATTGAACAGTTCCCACATAAGAAGAAATATGTTAATTTATAAGCCCAGTTTGATATGAAGGATCCACTGACAAATAGATCCTGTCCTCAGGTACACATGCATGGTAGATGCAGAAGATACAGGTTACTACTATCTATTTTTGCCCTATTACTCTATGCTGTTTGTGATTATATTCTCCACCACTTCATCCAAAGCTCTGTATACAATTCTATGGAAGTCTGTTTGTGTCAGTGGACATTTAATTTATTTAGCTTTCTTTGCAGGAATTCCAACTGATTGATTTTTCAGTTTTACCATTACATAATTTGCCTTATTACAGATCAGATCACACTCATGTTCCTTGCAGTGTGTTTTTTCAATTATCATTCTGGGTACTGTTTGTTTTTATTTCAGCTCCAACTGAAAAACAGTTTATTCATACCAAACCAAAAACATCTGGAATACCAAGAGTGCCACACACCAAACCTGGTAATGGAGTAATTAGCTTAATTTTGTGTGTTTGTTTTTAATCATTCTTTCCCTTATCCTCGGGTTTTGTGCTTTTTGACAGAATTATTCATAGCTGGGTTTGTGCTGAAGCAATCAAGTCAGTCAATCCAAAATATTCCTAAACTACACTGAAAATAGCAGGATTTGTAGTACATCATAAAAAATGTTTTTCCTCCCTTCTATTAGATACAGCAAATTATGACTAAAAGGTAGTAATGTGACTGTTCACAAATTTCAGTGGCTAGATAAACTTTCTGTAAAACTTTCAATAGAAAGATAATCTCTGTCAGCAGCTGATTTTTAAGATACTCTGCTACTCTATAGTTTGGGGCATTTTGAAAGTTTTGGGAATAGTGGATATGCTACTTTGTTTCTATTACAGTGTAATATTCTAAGATTCTTCACATTTTCTCCTCAACAGCAATACGTCAGACAACTCCCCAACCAATTCTTACAAAATCTACTACCACTGAGCATTCAAGGGCAACGATGGGTAAATAAGTTTCCTTAAAATTAAGATGCAGATTTTTTTTTTTTAATTTTTCAATGGAGAAATTCCTAGAGAAGATGGTCTGGGTGTGGTATTTTGTGTAACATCTTCCCACTGTCTTTCATTTTGCTCACACACGTGTTTCTTAATACAGATGAGTCTCAGTTCTATCCTAGAAGTAAAGCAGAAATAGCCTACAGCCCAATTCTCATCAGAAGCCTGTATTTGTCAGATCTCCAACCAAACTCAGTGGTTTCATTTTTTTTCTTCCAGAGCAAGAATTTTAGCCACCAACTCAAATTACCCTCCAGCACGTTGCTAGGACTTTTCTGTATTTTGGATAGTTGTTTTGTTTCAGGTTCCAGAAAGACATGGAATTGTTATTGTCTTTTTTTTTTTTTCAGGCATTTGAGGCATGAATTTTCTGTGGGCTAAATATGGCATTGGAACACGACTCCTGAAGAATACAATAATAATCTTTTTCTTTTTCTTTCAGCTCCAAAAGAAACACCGCTCATTCCTTCCAAACCCAAACCATCTGTCAAGCCAGAAGTCTCACAGACTAAACCTGGTAATTTGAAGTTTATGACTCTAAAAGTATTATTGTGACACTGCCTTGGTTACACTTTCTGCTGTCAAGCAGTACTGCAGCCATGTGACACGCAGGATCTGGAGGCAGAAATTAGTATCGTTGTTCAAGTCTATTAATAAACTGTGTCAAAGAGAATACCCCAAAATTGCATCAATTTCCATGGAGAGCAGAAGTCAGAATGGTTGGGGTTTTTTAATGTTTGTTGAATTGGTGGCTAGTAGCCACTAAAAATGTGAGGAATATTCATTTAATAAAAACATACTATGGTAGCCAGCTTCACAAAGTTATTTTCTTTCAGGAGATTTTACTACCTTCCAGCTTCACAAAGTTATTTTCTTTCAGGAGATTTTATTACCCTAAATACATTTGCTTCAATTTCTCAAGTATTTATGAAATTCAGGTTACAGAATCCAAGAGAGTTAGATGCCAAGACTGTAGGTACCTTCTTCCTCTCAGTGACTTTTGCAGTAAGTACAGCAGTTTTAGGGATGTATAGTTATAATAAAGGATGATGATACCTCAACTTTACCCTGGGTATATTTCCATAAAAATTACTATGTAGGAGGGTTACAGGAGGGGGAAAAAAAATTTTTAGGGGAAGAGTGACAACATGGATATAAGGAAGAGCAGCTCCTAATCATTTTTACTGTGATTTAACTTCCAAACAGATCATATTTTCCTTTTAGGCAAATAGATTAATGAATAGTTCTATCATTTCCCCCAATTTTTAACCTTAGACTTCTAGCCCTTTTTATACAGCCAAAAAGAACTTCAGCAGAGGCCCTATTCTTTCAAGAATTGTACATAAATATTACTATAAAAATCAAGCTGAACAGTCCAGGAATAATATTTATTTTCTGAAGGCTTTATTTTGAAAGGTTTTCTATCAAATAACCAAGTTAGATTCCAAGCTTCAATTGAATAATAGCTATTTGTTGTTAATGAATGCCATGTTTTGGTTCCACTACAAATTTACTTTTAGGTGAGGAATTGTAGAGAACAGAACTTACAGGTTTATTGTTTCCCTTTCAAATTTTAAATCATTATAATGATGGATATGCAAAATGAACTAGGTAGGAAAGCTGTTAAAAACAAATGGCATTATTTAGCCACTGCCCCTTATGTTAGTAAGCAGGTTACTTTCCAGCTTCCATATTTTAACTTTATTTCTGAAAGACACAGAGACATATGGTTTGTGCCTCTGGCTGCCAGCTCTTCTTTTCATCCATTAACTTAGACATCTTTCACTAAATTCAATCAAATTTGAGAGTAAGATGAATGTCTGAGAGATAAATACATTACTACAAGCTTTTAGAAATTTTTAGGGAACTGCAAATTAATATAACTAGTGTGAGAAAGACCAAAGACTGTCAGAATTCCACTTTCAAGGCATTTATTTGTTCTGAGGTTGGTGGGAGCCCAGCAAAATAGTTGCATTGTCTGGCTGTCAGCATGGAAATACATCCAGACTAATCAGAACACGTGTCTGTCTCATGTCTGTTAAAATTGTCTTAGCAGATGTGCAGATAGGTTTTTTAAGAAACAAAGGACAGAGATCTTTAAGGAAATCCAACTTCTTTAATTTCACTTTTCACAGAACAATGTTTTATTTCTTGTAGCTCCAAGGGGAACTCACCTGGGATCAATCAACCTCATAACCGTTCATGTTGTGGATGGATCCAAAATGACTTTGGGTAATTAGAATATGTCAGTTTATTTTTCACAAAACTTTACTTTCTCTGCCTTTGCTACATGGCTAAGCTTACACTTTAATCAACCAAAATACCTTCATGCATCTTTGTCATACTCATACGCTAGCCATATTCCAGGGCATGTACAAAATATTGCTGGTTTTCATTTTCCAGCTGCTTTCTTCTTCCATACAATTCATTCTAGAAATAAATACTTCATGTACAAGGCTGAGAAGTCATATAAAAAGGCATTACCTGATCATGTTTTCTTCTTTTGTCTGATTTACTAATGATATATAGATCTTCCCAGCCTTGAAAAGTCTTTTATCTGTACACAAGCATGATTTTCAGCCAGGTTTCTAGCACTGATTCTTTTTGTTTATAGTCTGCACAAAGTCTGAATTTCCTTTCCACCTGTGGTGTCTTATGTTTGAAAAGGAAATCATTCAGCATTTGACAAGCTATAATATCTCCACTTTCAGTTCCCAATGAAACGTACCAGATTTCACCCAAACCCAAAACTGCCTCAGCAACTGAAATTCCACGGCTCAGTTCAGGTAATTTTTAGGATTTTCTTCTGTTGTTGTATTGAGAGTCTGTAGAGCTGAAGTAAAATCAGTACAGTTTAAGGTTTAATGGTTCATTACTACCTTTAACACTATATTAAGTATGTAACATTTATTTTTCCCCTTATCAGGCGTTTTTTGTTCATTGCTCTGAAAAACAAGGTTTAACCAGTGTTGCCTCAAAGATTATACAAAGCTTTTAATCTGTTTATCAGTGCTAGTGCTAGCTATTATTAGTATTAGACCTAATACTACTCTTAGACCTGTGGTGTTGCAAAGATAAATGTAACTGACTTCCACTTTTTTCCTTACAAAATACTAAATCTTAGCTGTAAAACTTATTCCCAAATACAAGTGTCAAAGATGAGTAATATGTTCTTTCCTGTGTTTTATCTGACACTTCAGAAAGGTTGGATTAAGTCTTGTGGATAGAATAACTATTTAGATTCAAATATTAAATAGCTAGCTCTATTTATTTTAAAATTGGAGTTAGAAAAGTTGATAATTTGGCAGGAGATGATGGTGACTACTGGTTAATGTCTTCAGCTTTTAACGTGGTTCACACAGACTCCATAACAACTACAATATCAATATTATTAAGTGGAAAGTGATGACAAGAAAAGATTTCAGACTTTTGATTTTAACTTTGATGATGAGACTTCAGCAGCCCTACACAGTGTCTGCATTGTATGCTTCCAGTTGTTTCTTGGCAATATTTTAATGTTTCGTGATTTTATCTGAATATCTGACTGGGGGGGGCTCAGTTTGGTGTTTTATTTTGAGGTTTTTTGTTTGTTTGTTTTTTACAGAACCTAATTAAATGTCTTAAGGCCATGGATACCTTGCAGAGCTAACTCTGTATCCATATACAGTTGGGTAACTGGCTGTAAATATTTTATATCTTTTCCTAAACCTAAACATGAATGTAACTGGTCAGACTGCATGATGGAGTCATCTGACCTCTAAAGAAACTAGCATTTTCAGCGTGCATTTTGGATTGGAACTCATAGAATTCTCATATATCCATTTGGCTGTATCACATTGGTGCATGGACCTTTTTTTTTCTGGCAAATTACACTGCACTATCAGTGTTCCTTTTACACGTGGCATTTAAACTGACCCTTATTTCTTTTAGCACCTCATAAAACACGTCTCACTTCTGCAAGACCAAAACCATCTGATAGATCACAGACCAGGCCTGGTAATAATTGTTTATTCAATTTGGGATGGGGAGGAGATTAATTTATTGATTAATTTAACTTATTGGAATTTCAAGTGCTGCTGAGAAAAAAAGGATGTTTTTCTTTCAACTAATTTGTCTAGAGATAAAGCTTTTTCAAATCAGAAAAAAAAGAAAGCAAAACTCTATGTATCATCACAGCAAGTGTTACTTTTTCTTCTCTAATGTGGAATTGTTGGCATCACATAAAAGTCTGCTGGGTTTTCTTCTCATGGAACATTTTTCTTTATTCTTCTTTTTCTTTTTCTTTTTTTTTAAACTCTCTCATAGCTCTTGGTGAAACCACCCTTGCACCAGCTAAAGCAAAAACACCTGGACTGCCAAAGTGGATTGTGCCAACGACAGGTAAAGCTGCAGTTTTGTTTTGTTTTTTTCTTAATTTATCAGTAAAAGACAGAAAAGTAACTTCCTCAAATAATCTTGAGCCCTGCAAAATATTTCACTGTGTTTGATTATGTAATTTAATTCCTCAGAGTGCTGTCTGTAATTGCTGCTACTGGTCGTGTCATGTAATTCCTGAGTGTCATTATGAAATGCCCCTGACACCGAGTGTAAACTCACAGCTATCCTTTTTCCAGCCAATCAAAATAATGTTGTCAGTGCTAACTCATAGTAAATCCATATTTTTATATTTGATAAGCATTCATTTATTATTTCAGTACAAATACTGTCAGTTTTTTTAATATGGCCATTGTTTAATTAAATACGGAAATTTGAGATTCTTCACCAATAATGCAAGTTTAAAGTAATAAATAATATATTTTAAATAAATAAATAATACAAATATTCAAAGCAAACCTGTTGTTCACCCACTACTAACAGTGCTACTGTCCCATAATATTGCTCTGTGCTGGCTAGGTTAGGATAACCCAAATAATATCCCATCTATGGATGATTGTATATTGAAATTGAATTAAAAATATCCTGTTTAGAACTTGACACAATCTTCTGTATTACATACAGAGCTGATGACTTAATTAGAGGTGTGTGCCCTTTGACATTTCATAGTCCTTCTCATAAATGAATTCTCAAATTCCAGGGCATCAGAGGCACTTACAGTATTAACTGACCCATGGCAGTAGTTATGGGTCAGAAAGTTTTGTTCTTTGCTTGTGTTGGCAGTCTGCTTATAAGTGAGCTTTCTGTATTTAATTACCAAAACAGGCAAAATGCACACAGGTCTTCATATAGTAGTAACCTTGGCAGAGGTATTTGTAGATTAAAAAGAAGAAAACAACATGATAAGTAAATCAGCAGTATAAACATAACAGTAGACATGTAAATACTTAAGCGTACTTTATTGTGCTTAATGTTGTTTTAGGTTACTGCTAAAGTATTGTTTCAAGCAATCTTATTTTAAATGCTCCTGTTGGAATGCCCAGTAGTCATCAGTATTTCCATGTCTTTATATTAGTGCCAGTTGCCAGGAAGAACTAGAGCTGTGTTGTGGTAGATGGTGTCAAAAATTGTCACAAGATTACTGTGCATTCTGTGTGTTCACAGGCAAATAAGTTCCTTCTTCTAGAATTCTTCTGGAAAATGATACTTCTGCTAATATTTTACATTGCTTAGTTATGTATATCTTCTTTCATTAAGTTAAAGAAAAGTCCTGAAGATGTCTGTTACCTAGATTTTGTGCCCCACCAAGTTCGTCCTTCAAATTAAACCACATGTCCAAAATATTAAGGAACATCTGGTATTTATTATTTACTGTCCATTTCTTTGTGCATCCAACTCTGCTGTCATAGAAACTCTTTGCTATCTTTCTGTGAGTCCACACCTTTCTTCTGAGAAGTGTAGACAATTCACCAAAGACTTTTTTATGTTCATGATATGTTGAGGGAGGGCTGCAGCTTTTTGCAGCTTTTCATTCTGTATTTTCCTTGATGACCAATAAGAGGAATTCCACATCTTCTGTAAAACAGGTACACCACAGTGTTGTGGCAAATGCAGTGTCTGAGCCCATAAATCTGTCTATGCTCACAAAAATAGTTTCACACAAGAGAGCTGAAGTAATCAGTTAAAGAAATCATCTGTCTCTCCCACGTAAAGTGCAATTACATATTGCAAACTGAATTTCTAAGTCTGCAGAAGAGACTTATAAAAGAGAACTCTATTAACCTGAAATCCTAAATCTGAGCAGCTGAGCCAAGACCAAAAAAAGTTTCTCTTTCAGTAGGTTATATGGTAGAGAAATAACATTTTAAGATATCCAGATTATTTTGAGGGGTGGGGAAGTTAATTTCTTCCATTATGAAAATGATATTTTTTTTTTCTATGGTTAGCTTATCAGAATGCTTAACTTCTGATCTAAGCTGATCAGAATCACTAATTGGACCGTAAGGAACATTAACAGATTTTTTCCAATTTCCCTTGTGAAAGAGAGTTTGTTTTCATGCTAATGATCATTACCTTTGTGTTCTACTTTATTATTGGAACTGTGGGTATATAGCCGAGTTCTAGAGGAACTCAAGTATTAAGGTATTTCAGTCTGTTTTATCAAAGGCACTTTTATCAGTTCTTCCCTTAAAATGATCCACACTTCAATGATACTCCTGCTATTAAAGATGCAGTGGCTAGTTTTAAGGTGTTCCAGATCCCATTAATATTTCCAGGAAAAAGATAAAAGACAAACAGACATGCAAGCAATATGTATATTCTGAATCCTGTTAAAAGCTTGGATGAGTGCAGTAAGTCAAAATGCAGTGGAAGTTTCTGGAAAAAATAATCACTTCTTCCTTCTAAAATGTATACAATATTATTTTCATTCCTAGCTAATAAAACTTAGACAATATTTTGATTCTAAATTAGATTGTAAGGAACAGGACAGAGGTCAGGTTTTCTATAGACACTGTAGGATGTAAAAACTAAATTAGATTTTTAATGGCTATTTAGGTGGTTTAATGTGATTTAATCAATGTTCTAGTACATTTTGTTGTATTTATTGTAAGATGAAGCTGAGAAACTAAATATACTCTGACAATGACCCACGGTATACAAGATTATTTCATTTTAAAGCTGTTGCTGGCTTTCTCATGCCTCTTTTCCCTTGAACACCATTCATGAGAAACATTGATATGCAGTCTCATACTTTGTATATCTGAAGATCTAATTAACCTCTTTAGTTACCTGAAGATGAGTTGCAGTTATATTAAACACATCATGTGGTTTTGAAATTTTAGTCACAGAGAGCAGGTGACCTGTGTCCTGTTCCCAGCTTACTTCTAGTCTCCTTAGCTCAATCTTAAGTCAATCATTTAATGCATCCATACCATGGATTTGTGGATTCCTAAAGTATGCCCAGCAAGAATGGTCAAATACTAAATTGAAAAATTATCTGCTTTGTGCTGTTAAAATACTAGTTTAACCTCAAAACAAACTGAGCATTGGATTAGAAATCTATGAAACCTTTATTTGAAGTGTTTGGTGATCGTGTTGAAATAGGGTTGGAATTTGATCATTTGATTTTAAAAGTTTTTTTTTTAAATACATTAACTTTCAGAGGTTTTTCTTATGTCCTAAGAAAGACTGTGCTTTTTTTCTTCCACAGACTTAATGAAACGTCAATGTATCTTCTCGAACATATATAGAGGTTTTATTAATTCAATTATTTTTTATAGGGAAAGCACATCAATTTAACAATCAAGCAGTCCTATAAATATGAGCATGTGAAACACTTGTTCTGTACCAGGAGTAGATGTGTTGATCTTTTTAATGCCATTTCTTTCAGTTTTTTAAAATGTGTTTACATAACTTTTAAATAGGACTTTCTTTTATCTACAAACTGGATTTTAGGTATGTTTTGCCTCCAGTACTCCAAATATGGTACAGATTTGGTTCAGAATTGCTTCAACCATTCAATATGGAGGATAACTGAAGACCTTACTTTGGAGAGAACTTTGCCCTTTGCAAGAACCAATGGACATTTTATTCTTTAAATGTTCTCTATAGTAATCTTTCCACATACAATCTTGTTTTAAGTTATCTCTTAATCTTATTCATTCTCTCTTTCCAATTATAATTTTTTCAAGAAACATTTAAAATTAAATTGCAGGCTCTCTAGATCCAGATGACTTTTTATTTACTTGAATAAGAAGGTGACAGATATCACCAAGTTATCAGTAAAAACATAGGTGGGCCACATGTGCCAGATTTGCACTTAATGTTAGATGCACATTGAATAAATTCAAATTCTAAGTATTCCATGAGTTGGTACTGAACCATAGATACTTATCCCTTTGTTTCACAGATGATGTATATGCACCTGAGGATATCACCAGACAAACTGGCATGGATGTGAAAAAACCTTGGCAATATAGTGACACCTGGGAAAAGCCTATTCATGGTAAGGTTAATAAAAGAAGACAATAGAGCAAATTTTAACAGTTAGGGAAAAATAAAACCACCACCTTTCCTACTCAAAAAGCACTTCCACTAAGAAAAGAAAATAATTCTTAGTTGTCCTCATCAATACCCCTCCTCTTGGCTTCAAAATGCTACTAAAAGATATAAAAATAAGACTATTTCATGATAACTACTTAATCACTGACATATGCCATTTGTTAAAATTACCCCCACCAGTGCTGCATCCTTTTGATCAACACTTCAAGCACTGATTTTTTTCATAGTAAAAATTTGTACATGGCAATGGAAAATAAGGTCAATGCATATCCAAATTGTCTTCCCATTTATAAGAAAATTTTGTTGAATAATAGCATTGTTGGGAAAATTAGAATGTTAGGCTTAAAGTAAAATAACAATGTGAAGTAAATGAGATTTAAAGTGTTTTTATGTATGCTATAACAGACTTATCAATTTGACTTTTTTTGCAAGTCATGAAATCATGTTTTCAAAACAATAAAGATATTATTACTGAAAAACGGCTTCCCCAAATAGGCTTTCAAAAATAGGCTTTTTTATTTCTTTTTTTCTAGTCACCTGCTTAGAAATTTTCTGTTTCAACTGAAACATTGCAGTATGAAATAGTTGTGTTTATATATGCCATGTATGCATGCAAATATACATATAAACATGTACACACACTTGCACGTAGAGAATTTCTTTGTTTCATAAGCATAACCAGGAATAGACCTTGTTGTAGCTGGCAATAGAACTGAAAATAAAATCTCTTTTTTTTAACCCTTGGATTTACTCTTCAGCTGCAACTGCCCTTTTTGGTTAAATTTTCCTTTGGAAACATTTTATTAGTTTTAAAAACACAAATGCAAAGCTAGAACTCTAATTTATAAACTGCTGCTTGCTCCTAATCCCTTCTGAATTTCCTTTGCACCTAATTTACCTGCACAGACAAGAGCCTACCTTGACAGCTGAATTCTGATGTCTTATCTTTTTAAAGTTAATTCAGTCTGAAGATTGTACTTTAAGATTAAGTCCAGCTTGACATACTATTAGTAGTAGCTCAGTACAGACTGTGTAGTGAAAACAAGGACGTTGCTCTGCATTTTTTGTGACTGAATGTCAGGCATTCAGTACTTAAGTAAATCCAGCTTGTGGTTTGCAGAGACTGGAAGGTTTCTTATGCACATAGTTCTGAAGGAACATCTACATCTGGTTTTACTCATCTTATGACATTAGATGTTTAAAGTTAAGCTTTTAGAGCTTTGAAACAAGTCAATACCTTGCACTGTAGATATAAAAGACAGTTGGGTGTGGTTGTGAAATGTGCTACTACTGTTTTGTCATTTCCTTGTATAGTTCTGTGATCTCAGCTACCTTCATGAGGTCTTTATATGTATATCAAAATGCAGAATTACAGAATTGTGCTACTACTGTTTTGTCATTTCCTTGGGTAGTTCTGTGATCTCAGCTGCCTTCATGAGGTCTTTACATGCATATCAAAATGCAGAATTACAGAATCATAGAATAGTTTGGGTTGGAAGGAACCTTTAGGGATCAAATAGTTTCACCTCCACCACTGTGAGCAGGGACATTTTCACTAGATGAGATTGATCGAAGCCCCATCCAACTTGACCTTGAACAATTCCAGAGAGGGGGCATCCACAGCTGCTCTGGTCTACCTGTTCCAGTGTCCCACAGTAAAGAATTTCTTCCTTGTATTTAACTTATATCTACCCTCCTTTAGTTTAAAACCATTACCTCTCATCCTATCTCTACAAGCCCTAGTAAAAAGTCTCTTGCTTTCTCTTACAAGCCTCTTCTAAGTATTGAACGTTTCAGTAAGGTCTCCCTTGGAGCCTTCTCTTCTTCAGACTAAACAACCCCAAATTTCTCAGCTTTTCTTCATGGCAGAGGTGTCCAGCCCTCCTCTGCACCTGCTGGAGCAGGTACATGTCTGTCTTATGCTGGAGGCTCCAGAGTGGAACATAGTACTCCTGGTGGGGTCTCGTGAGACCAGAGTAGAGAATCACCTCCCTCAACCTGCTGCCAACAATTCTTTTGATGTGGCCCACCACACAATTGTCTTTCTGAACTGCAAACAGCCATAGCTGGCATATATCTAATTTTTCATCTGCCAGTATCCCCACGTCCTTCTCTGCAGGGTTGTCACCTGAATCCATGTCACCTAGCCTGTACTGAGACTGGTGGTTGCCCCAACCCAGATGCAGGACCTTGCACTTGGCCTTGTTGAACTTGATGAGGTTTGCATCAGCCCACTTCTCCAGCCTTTCAGGGTCCCTCTTGACTGTATCCCTTCCCTTAGGTGTGCCAACTGTACAACTCAGATTGCTGTAACCCACAAACTTGCTGAGGGTGAACTCAGTCCCACTCTGTGTCATTAGTAAAGATACTGAGCAGCACTGGTCCCAGTATGGACTCCTGAGAGACACCACTTCTTACTGATCACCACTTCTTGATCAGGTGTGATTTGCTCCTCAAAGGAGGCTGCATACCCTCCTTTTTCATGAAGAGTGACAGAGCTGAGGAAATACGTTCCTGGGCCACAAAGAACCCCTGAGACCAAATAAATCCCAATAGTTCACCATGCCACCGTCCTTACAAGTATCTACGCTACCACAAAACCCCTAAATTCCATTGTTTGTCCTATTTTACAAGCTCAGTCTCCACACATTGTTAATTAGATTGGGTAGCATCATAGACCATCACCCAAATCATAATGGAAGTAGCAGAAGGGAAGAGTAGGGATTCTTGTTTTTCCAGAATTCAGTGTAGTAGATTCAACAGGGACACAGTCCACTGAATGTGATGTTTTGGCTTTCATGTATTTGTTGTGGTTGTGTTGTTCAGAAGGTATGGTAGAAACCACTGACAAGTCAGTGCTTGCATAGCCCATAAATATCCTTGACAATCCCATTCCCTAAATATGAGCAGGGGGAGAATTAATCATGGATACTACTATGTAGTACTATCTAGGATACAATGAGTTATTCATACAAAAATTTATTAGCCTTTTTCAGGTCTTTAGACATATTTTTTTTTCATCTCCATCTGGGGATTAAGAATGAATATGAAACCTACAAATACTATTCTCAAAACCATTACATCTTCCTGAGTTAGATAGATCATTATTTCCTGACTTGATCTGGGGGATTTTAAAAAACATGTGTTTTATAAAGTGACTGCAAAAGTCCAAAAGGAAAAGGGAACAGAGAAAGATGGAGATCTTCCTGTTTGTATCTTGCAAGTATTTCTAAAAAGGCTCTCCCAAATTCCCAAATGAGTCTTTGGATCTGCTCCCTTCTCGCCCACATTCACTCTATTATTAGGGTAAATTAAGGTCTGATGTGTAGGGTCCAAGGTACTCTGTGTAGCCACGTAACTCAGAATCAGACCACTTGCATATTTGTTGACACTGGCAGCTTTATAAGACTGATATTACTCTTGAGGATTTTATCCTTTTAGGTACAAGAAGTCTTTTGTTACATAAATGCATTGCATGTATCTCCCTTTTTTTCATAAGGAAAGAAGTGCAGAGGTGAATAGTGGGAGAAAAACCTTTTCTTCTGCCTTTCCTTTGCATAATAAAATCCTTTATAATTGCCTGGAAAGTACAATAAAATATTTTTTAAATATTAATTAAGAGTCTTAGGTTCTCTGTTCAGACCTTGCTGTCAAAGGTCCTTACCAGATGGATTTAATAGACACTGGTGAGAACTGCACATTGAAAAAACACAGTGGGGTACTTCAGGAGTTTCTACCACAGAAATCAGAAACTTTGATCTAACAGGTCAGAAATTTTGTGAGTAGGCTACTGAAGATGTTTCCAAGTACACTGAGGTGGTGTTTATTGTGGGAAGAAGTATCCTCTTGGCTGCCAAAAAATTACTGTTGACAGGAATGACTAACCACACAGAAAACAAATTTCTGAAACACTTGTACAAAATCCCAAAGGGGCAACATTTTTCCAGTGTAAGCTTGGTTTAAAACTCCATGGCACATACTTCCCAAAGAATTTAAGGCTGGAAATACAACTCATTTCAGCTCTTAACCTCACTTTTCTGCTTTTGAGACATGAAACGCTGTTTGAGCAGTCAGAGCATAACTTGTAATGGGTTTCTGATTTTGTGGCATTTGAGGTTAAAGAAATAATAACACTGTCTTGTGATGTCATTCAGCAACGACGTCTCCTGGCCCTCAGCATCCACCTGTACCTCATGCCAAGCCTACACCAATGCGAAGAAAACCTCTGCCTCCCAACACTGTGACTGGTAAACCAGGTGGTCCAGGTACTCAGCCTTTTCAGCATAAATATTATATCATGTGTGAGATATGAACTGCCTAGTAGGATATAGGAGAATTTAATAGTAGACATTATTTTCCTTTAATCTGCACTATCTATTCAAACTATTCTTCTGAAGCACACAGGCCTTGTGTCTTATCTTCATATATAAACTCTTTTCTTTTTGTTTTCCTTGTCTAATTAAGTCAAAATCATCCCTAGTAAAGGACCTGAAAGCAAAATAGCATCATGCAAGTCATCCTTTAAGAAGCTCAACCTTAAGAACATTTCATGTCTAGTAATAGCATTTGCAGTTAATGTGTCTGTCAGATGGCAGATATTGAATATTATGCTTCAATGTTTACTGCCAACTAGTTATTTCTGAAGAAATTCTGTCCCATATATACGGCACAACAATTAACCACTGCAAATAATGAGCTAATAGGCACACAGAAACCTAACTACACTTATTCCAGCTTATTGCAGCTGCAAAGGGTTTAGCTTCATTCATGTGCTACAGAATTCCTGCTCCTCAGTGCCAGTTTAAGAGGACACAGAAACAAGAATCTTTAGGCTAACATACCACGAAGCCACAGACTATCATCCTCACATTTAGCATCATGACAAGTACTTCTCTGTTCACATTATTCTCTGGAGCTCAGTGGAAATACAAAGGTCTTGACTCTGCTGTATTCCCTGTTGGCTTTTTTTCAGTTAGTTTCATTTGGGGCTTTGTGTGCTCCTGAAACAATAAAGATCTAAAGAATTGTTTAGTATTTTGTGCAGCAGATTGGAAGCAAGGCTCTCCAAGCTGGATGAAACAAGCTGTGTATCTACCCAGCAGCAGGGCTGAGATATGGATCGTTGGTGTTTCCTTAGTAATAGCTATGACAGAACATAAGGCATTGTCAGTCTTAAGCTGTAACATAAAAAAAATGTTGACCTGATACATTTTCTTTTGTTTGTAATAATATTTATGCTAATTTCATCCATTAAGTCTCTCATTAATTTACCAATGTTTGGAAATTTCACCCTTTTTTCATACACTAGAGTGCAGCTCATGTGGTAGTCAGCAGCTACCATAGCTTCCTAGCCATTCAAGATGGAATAAATTCATTAGATGATCTGGTTCTTCCTTGTGTGGCCAGTAGATTTTCCTTTTTTTCTGTGTTTCCTAGTGTTTTATCCAGCTTAGTTTTTTAACATCATAATTTAGTGTCTTCTGTTTCCCTGGAAAGACTGTTCCATAGTACTAACAGGAAAAATTTGCTTCAATGTTCTCCTTGGATTTTCCCTTTCATAATTCTGCCTGGTTTCTCTTTCTCATTAACACTGTGATTAATTCCTTACTTGCATCTCTCTTAATCATCCAGTAAGTATGAGTATTATGGGAAGGTTTCTATGCTGATATTAAAACCCTCCTGACTGGAAAAAACAGGAAATAAGGGCTCCAGATCCTTTATGAAGCTGAACTCAAGTGAGAATCTTAATAAAGTTCCACTTTATTAAATAAATTAATGGAAGGTAGGGACTTCTGTTGTTTTAAGCTTGGTTCATCAGAGTTCTGCTTTCATTCACCATGTTCTCCTTGTCATGTGTGCAGGGAATGTAGCTACATTAAGTAGTTCTTTACTTTCTGGGGGATTGAGATTTTACTGTCATACAGGGGTCATAAAACTCAAACTATCTGCATGTTTTGTGAATGTAGTTTTTGCCTTCTACAGCTATTTTGAAAACACTAAAGGCGCCCTTACAATGGATTGTTTGCCTCTTAGAAACCCATTTTCTTTATTAGCTGAGGAGCAAAAGCAATGTCACAAAATCTGAAATAATTTTTAAAATACCTGTTTAATCATGGGAGATAATAGTGCCTCTTTGAGTCAGTTTCTGTTCAAAGTTACACTTTTATTATTACAGAATAGATCATTTCAGAAACAAAGCTTTTTCAGAATAGATCATTTCAGAAGCAAAGCTTTTTCCCTTGGGTCATGTGGTTGTATAAATGTTGAAAAAGTTGGGCTTCATTGCATTTTTCTTACCTTCATTTGAAGTGCATCTTTATTTCATTTAGTAGAAGCTCCAGGGCTATTCTGTAGTTAAATTCCCAGTGCAGACCATAATTAGGGATTCTGTGTTTATCATTATATATGTCTCAACTCCAGCCTTGTTAATATATGTGTTGTATTGAAAGCACTTGTTTGATTGTCACAAACCTGAGTTCTGTTAGGAAAGGAGAAAGTTTCACTCTTTTTGATAATGAAAACCTTATTGCCACAACTTCCTCCTCCTGTCCCTGTAGCTAAACCTGCTGGACCAACACCACCTGTTAGGACAGGAACATCATATAAGATGCCAACAGCTTTTGCAACCCCAGAATATTATGGTAAGCACATTACAACACAGTTCTCTTTTGGGCTTTTGTTTTTGGTTTCATTTTGAGTTGTTTGGTTTGGATTTTTTCCTTGAACAAAAAGGCTACTTTAAATCTGTGAAGGGATTGGTTAAGGCACCTCTATTCCTGAATGTTTCTTTTTGCACAGGACATAAATTCTAATCATTATTCAACAGTGACTGATATTGCTGTGATAACCTCCAAGCTATTTGATGAAACTGCCACCATCTAAACAGAAAAAAAAGATGTAATAGGGTAAAACTTGTGGTTAGCTGGTAATTTACCCTTTATAAAATTGCAAGTTAACTACACGTTCAGATCTAAATCTCTTCAAAGTGGCAAAAAAATGCTTGTTGGGAATATATTGTGTTTTGTCCATTGTATTTGCATCTAAGGGAAATTGTGTTCAGTATAGAGGCTATTTGGCACAACACTGGTGTCATGAATCCTGACTGCTTTAGCACATTTCTGTTCACCAAGATGTATTTACCTTCAATTTTCTTGAAGTTTTGAGGAAGTTGTACACTCTGGAGATAGAATTTGTGATTTCCTTGTTGCTATTTTTAAAGAAGTTCATGTGCCAACATACTAGTGCCATATTTCTATGAAGGTAAGACAAGCTCCAAGGTAAACACCCAGCAAAGTGCAAAAATGCCCTTTTTAAAAGGTCTGAAGAGCATTTTGCATACATTTTATGAACTGAATACAGCAGCAGTCATGAAGTCTGTCATTTTGAGTATGGCTCTCTTTGTACTAGCAGGTAAGTGATGGGGTTTACTTAGCACTCCAGCAAAAGTGAAGTTCTTAAAAGGAAAAGACAGATTTGGCAACAAATGTCTTCCATGGAAGAGTTTTACTATGATTTAAAATGCCAAAGTAACTGTTAAATGCTGCAGTTCTGACACTGAAACTTCATATGCATTGCAAATTAAATTATAAATGTGTTTCTCACAGTTGATGCAACAGTCTTCAGCTCAAGTCCTACATCAGAAACAGATTCTTCAGGCAAACCAAGGTACCAAGGTAGGATTTTAACAGCCATGGTATTTTTATATGGGGAAAACATGAAGACTGACCTATCTTGCATCAAAATTATGTTGTCTGGTTATTCAAAGGCCAAAACTTAATGATGAGAGGAAGAAGTGATATTTTTCTAAAAGATCTTAAAGGTGGTTTTCTTGGTCTAGTAAGACACATTTCTGAAGATACTGCCTTTCTTGCAAGAGCTTATTTTTTGGATCTAATAGACATTTTAATTTTAGAACTAATGTGTTTGTCTTCAGTAATCTTCCTAAGGTTTGGTCCTGTACCACTGAAAATGGATAAGATTTTGAAATCACTTTAGAAACTTCAGGTTTAATGATGGAATGACTCTGGACTAAACTTGTAACTCCTTCTGGTGAAATAAAATGATGACAGGCATTACATCTTTGTATTAGCACAGTGCTCAAAAACTGCAAATGGAATCATAGTGTAATTTTACTGTAGAAGAACAGAAGTTAATGGTCCTATTTTATGAAGTTAATTCTTTCACTGCATGCATATCACCCACTAATACTTGCAGGATGATATTTCATCAGTGGTGCCAGTAGGAATGAGGTGAAGGCACTGCAGATTCCAGGTCTAACAACAATAAGAACCCCAACAAACAGCTTAACATTGAATATAGGGCTTTTAATCTTAAAAATTTGCATTTGACTTTGACTTGTGCAGATTTTTATTGAGTGCCCTGAGATGGAAGAATGAGGTGAAGGCACTGCAGATTCCAGGTCTAACAACAATAAGAACCCCAACAAACAGCTTAACATATAGGGGTTTTAATCTTAAACATTTGCCTTTGACTTTGACTTGTGCAGATTTTTGCTGAGTGCCCTGGGATGGAAGATGTGCACTAGGTGAGGTGGCATTGACACTTTGGGAAAACAAAATGGAATAACAGCTCTTTCTGATTGCTCTTAGCTCCCCACGTCAAGTACATGAAGAAAGATGATGATGTGCCTTGTTCTATCACAAGCTCTCTTGAACATTTTCCTCAAGAAGAAGCTGGCAGCAAGGAAGAAGCAACTCGTCCTCCACAAAATCCTCCAACCAACCTCACAGTGGTGACTGTTGAGGGCTGTCCAACTTTTGTCATTTTGGACTGGGAAAAACCAGACAATGACACTGTTACTGGTTGGTTTGACTTTAGTTTTACTTTCTCAGTGATTTTATGCCATTTTAAAATTAGATTAATCCCAAGGGAGTCTCACACCCCAGTGCCTTTATTTTGTGCTACTGTCAGCTCCAGTGTGGATAAGAAAATGCTATGAGATCAGAATGATATTTTCATTACTATGCCATTGGTGTCAGTGATGACACAAAAAGATACTTAAGAAATGTGACTCTGTACCCTCTCTTAATTTCTGGCTTCTCTGCATACAGGATCTGGTAAGATCTGGTCAAGAAGTTCCAGCAATGTGACAGGAATCTGTATTATATAGATGCATACACATAATCTAGATATCTTTCTTGACTTGAGGATGTTGTTGATCAGTAGGCTGTACACAATGAAACCTTATATCCATCTAATAAGGCAGTAGAACTCCACCAGCATAATTCTTGCTGCACCCTCAGTGGGGTCACCAAGTTCTCTATCTTAAAAGAATCTGTTTGGTATTTTAATTTCTAAAGGGAGGCTCTTGTATTGAGAATAAATCCTTGTGAATGATGCAGGAATTAGTACATAGAAAGGTAAGCACAAGAGATGACAATTCATCATTTGTATGCCATCTTCTGTAGATCAACACAAGTCTACCAAAACTGAACATTTAAATTTTAACAACTAAAAATTATGGTTCTTCCATGCTATCGGGGATATGGCTTTTGTTTTTACCATTGGCATCAAACTTTGGTTTGCAAAATCACTGATTCACCACAGCCATGACCAAATAAATGGATTTGGCTGCTTTGCATTACAGGCAAGTAGAACAGATAAGAGACTAGGACCTGTGAGGGCTAAGACTTGCTCATTAGCCATTCACTTTAGCATGTAAGGGGGATGATTTTAGATGTTGTTGTATACATATGTCATGAGAGATTCTAGTGCAGGGGTATAATTAGGTGACTGTCATAAACAAGACCCCTCTCTTCCCCATATTGGTCCTTCTGTGATTTCCTAGAAATAATTACTAGGTTCAGCCTTTACTCTTTCTTACTCACTCTGCTATTTTGAAAAATAATAAATGCAAAACCAAGGGACACTCAATCCAAAACTTAGCCTGCACTTTTTGCTCTGAGAAAGAGGAAGAAAGTTAGCCCTTCTGCTGGATTAAAGGGGACTAAAAAGAGACTGTAGGCTAATAAAAAGTACTACCAAGAGAGAAGAATGACTACCTGGCTTGCCTTCTGCTATGAGGTTCATCCTGGAAGAAGAAGTGTGGGCATATTGCTGTCGTTGAAGACGGGCTCTCTGCGAACACTCCCCATTCCAGGCACTTCTACAGTGCTGCTTTTTGTTCACAGAAGTCTTTTTGTTGCTGTTGTCATTTGGAAGCCTCCTCCACAGACCAGTCCCTAGATTGGTTAGATCAAATAATGCCATTTAGTCTGCATGTTTTCTTGGAGGCAGGCCTGCTGTTTTTCTTCAGTATGTTAGTGAACCCACCATGGCATACCCTTCCCCATTCCAGAAAAGAGCTTTAAAACCTTCTGCAGAATATGTGACTAATACTCATTTTGCTTTACTGAAAGAAATTTGAGTTTTCTACCTAGCTATCTTCCTAGCAGCTTTCCCATAAATACCATCTTCATTCTTTTTAACTTCAGTGTGTAATACAAAGGGCTTGAATTCTGTGGCTTACAAATACTCTCATTGAGGTTGCCTCCTTCATCTCAGCCTCAAAAAATTACTCAGTTAATGACTCATTTAAGGACACTTTCTGAATTCAAGAGAAGGTGTTGAATCCCATTTTCAGAAAACAGTGATTACTTCATATTGGCACCAGTATGATGTGACTTGTTTAGACAGACTTAAACCAAGTCCTGTCTTCTGTCACCTCTTATTTTTGTAGTTTTATACATTTTTTTTCCTAATCACCTGATTTAGGCACCTTTTTTTTTCATGCACTGCTTCAGATAGAACTGTGAAAACAGAAAATGTTGTTTATTGAGCCATTTTTTTTGAAATTATTACTTTGCTTGACTTTTAGCTATGAACAAGGGGTGTCATCATATTGGATATTCCCAAAAACAAAATCATATTTCAGTCATGGAAAGATCTGACAAATAACAACCAAAACAGTGACCCCTGATCCTTGTTTTTGTAAAGGCTGAAAATGTCAGGAACCAAAACTATTTTGCTGGTGCTCTGCAACTCCTGTTGTGTTGCCACAGAAATGTAAGGTAGTTTGTTTTCTTGTGCACTGAGCCACAAGCAGGTGCTGGATGCACTCAGAGGTTCTTTGTGTGTGTGTGTCTATGAGTTTGGTTTTAAAACACAGTGGTTGCTCTTTCACTGTTCATGGGGGAAGAGATCCAAACATAGAAACTTTGAAATCTTCAGTATCAGCAGTAATTTCTTCCTTCATGCTGACTTTCTGAGATACTTCTGAACCTACTATAAAGTATTATGCTTTATGTTGCTCTGCATGTAGCTCTAAATAACTAAGTCTATAAGAAGGTAAAGTTACAAAGATGCTGTGTAGAGGTCCCTTCTGAAACTATTGCAGTGATTCTGAAATTCCCATGTGCACACATGCATAGAATTGCTCAGATTAAACTGATGCAGCTTAGAAACTTGGCATTTTAACTCACAGTTTTTTAGGGCTCCTTTGTAATTCCACTTACTTGCATTGTCTTATACCATTTACCCCAGTGTTTTTTATGTCTGGTTTTTTTGCATGGAAGAGTGCAAAGGAAAAGTGTCCAAATTGGTTTAATTTGTGTATGTACAATCATTTACACACCCATTTCCTGTCTTTACTAAGAGGGAGGATCTGAGAATCCAGCAACAATTAGATTTTTTTTTTTTTCTTTTTAACTGAATCCCATTACAGGTGTTTTATCTTTCCACCTTGTGAACAAATGGGTTTCCTTGTACTGAGGAACTAAAAAATGTAGCCCTACAGCTCGCTAGCATTTAGTTAAGAACTTGAAGATTAATACTATAATTAGAAACTGAATCCCATTGCAGGTGTTTTATCTTTCCACCTTGTGAACAAATGGGTTTCCTTGTACTGAGAACTCAAAAATGTGTGGGGGAAAAAAAAAAAGCTCCACAGCTTGCTAGAATTTAATTAAGAACTTGAAAATTAATACCATAATTAGAAAAACAAACAAACAGGAAAGATTTTGCAGCTGTAGATGGGTGGTCTCTGTCTTTGTCCTCACAGTATAATACTTGCTTTATTCATTGTACTGTAGGTCTAAATCCTTGTTGCAAATGTTCTTTGAAAGCATTCTCCTTTGCTAGCTTAACATTAGCAAAGCTGCACTTGGTATTGTAGACAGGTTTTAGGAAGGGGAAAGGAAGGCACTGGGGAGGTTGTGGATTTCTTTGTGAACAGAGGAAAATTAGCAATGTACTCAGTGTGTTTCTTAGAAGAGGTGAGATGCTGAGTATCCTCTATCCCATAACTGAATTATGAGGAATGATACGGGGCTGTGCACTCAAGAATTTTGGAATTGGATCTCTCTTTCCTAACCTTTTCAGCACACTAATGTCCAGCCTCTTTCCCACAAGACTTCCTTACAACCTTTTAGACAGTAGGAGTGGAAATCAGATGAAAAAATAGAGAGAGCAATGAAGGAGCTCAAGCAAGAGCTGTTGTTTAAGCAATTTTCTCTTTACTGTAATTTTCCAGAGTATGTGGTCGTGTCAACTGAAAATGGAACCAGTGATGGTGAAAAGGAGAAATCGATTATCACTACAAATCAAACCCATTCTACTGTGGAAAACCTAAAACCTAACACAAGGTAATTAAATAAAACAATTTTCTAAGATAATACAAATAATTTAGACTGTCAACTGTCTGCAACTTCAAATGAGAATACATATGTATGTAAGACCACATTGATTTTACTCCTGTTCTGAGAGGAAAAAGGTATGCTCTTGTTTTGCTTTATTTTATGTTAACAAGTAAGACAAATCTGAGTAATCTTTAGGAAATTCCCCAGAGTATTTAAGGTCTGGACAAACTGCAGAAGTGACTTGTTCTACCAGAAAGATTAATAGTTGGATGTAAGAATATGTGCTGCTTTTTATTAAAAAAAAATCTTTAATTTAGCAAAGAAACAAGAGGAACACAAGAAATATGAGACTGATATGTGAGGTCAAGATTTCTGAGTCCATTTGTCTTTCTCTGGGGCTTAAGGATACTCAGCACAACTGATGTAGGTTGCTTGCTTATTTAGGTGGTTGTTCATTGAGTTACTGTAATGAAGCTTGACTATTGCATTGCACAATGGAGAGGAATGATACATTTGTCCTGTGTATGTAGGTTTTTTTCCTTTCAGTTCTTGAAGCAGCTGTCAGGTTAAAAATGTGTCAGTGAATTTCAGTTGGTAGCATACATCTCATGCAACTAGTCCAAACAAGCATTATTGTTCTTTTAAAAAAAAAAAAAAGCCATCAAAAATTCTTCTTCTTTTTTTATGGTCAGAGAAGGGAAGAAGACTATTGTTGTTATTTCTTAAAGGCATGTGGCTTGTGAACTGCAGCTAAATTGTTCTGCCTTGTTAAGAAGCAATTAGGATATGCTAAAAATACAACAGGAGACCAAGCATTGGTTTCCTCAATCTCTTGAGAAGGCTTGAGAGAGGCAAAACAATACATTTCTGGTTTGTTAAGAAGCAATTAGGATATGCTAAAAATACAACAGGAGACCAAGCATTGGTTTCCTCAATCTATATATTTCTGGTTTAGTGAGTAAGAAAGGCAGTAGGTGCTGCTAAACTTGTTGTAGGCTATGTTGTTTGTGTTTTCCTTTCAATTCTGCACTGAAATAGTACAGTTACATCCTTGAAAGGAACCCTGTGTTATTAACAATAATCTCTTCTATTACACACTCAAACTCTGTGTCACATATGGTGGTGCAAATGGGGTGGATTTGGTTAAGTGTGGAAAAACATGGAAGCAAAGAGAAGTTCTTGATGCTGAGAGCTGTGCCCAGATGGCCAAAAGAGTTAAAGCAATTTTAGGCTGGTCTTTGCTCAGAAAGGAGCAAGATGAAGGAAGGCAGATCCAGCTAGAACCGTTGGAAGGCCGTAAGGAAGGCAGGAGCTGTGCAGAAGCAGATGGCTTTTAACTTTAATTAGTAACAATTCTGTCAATGCTATGAGAGGACTTTCAGATTTTGGAAAGCAAGAGCAAATCAAAGACCATGGGGAAAAGCTGGCTTTTGGAGCATGGGTTTTGTTACCAGAAGCTAGATATGAGATCAGTACTGCCTGGTGGAGGCTGATTTAAGACATAGAGGGATAATTTTTCCCCCTGATGGGATGGTGGCTATTATTCCCCTCTTCCAACCTCAAAGCACAAAAAAATTGTTACTCGTGCCATTTGAAAAGTGATTAAGATAGATATTATGTAGACACTCTCAATGTTGAAGCCCATAATAAAAGTCTCCTGTCTGTCAGGAGCTGATTGCTTGCTAGATAAGGAAAATGGACTCATGGACAAAACTGAAATAGGAGGAAGAGAGAATGAAACACTCAATAAATTAATTGCAGACATTTCAAGGACTCTGTTAAATTTACCAAGTAATGCATTAAGACTGAGAAGCAGACTTTTCCACAACTAGCCTTAAAGGAAAGAGCTGTAGGAGTGGAGCTGGAAAAGAAATTTAGAAAAGAAAAAATATAGCAGATCAACATTTACAAAACTACCAGCAAGTAGATGGAAAGAAATGCTCAGTAGCAGAAGGTGGATGAACTGGGGAAGAACCTCTTGGCCTTGAAATGCTTTGGAGATGCTGACAAGTTGAATTTGAGAGTCTATTTTTTCCAGCTTTCCTGAGGTCATCAGTGAGGCTGTATGAATCCCCTCTGCTTCTCTGAAGGCTCAGTGCATCTGGAGCTGAAGACAGTTCAGGATGGAACTAAGCCAGGCAGACCTAAACAAAGACTTTCCAAAAGGAATAAAAATGTTTGTGAACGTGGTACCTCAGTCTCCATGGGTAAATTTAAACCAGAAAGATCCTATAGCAGCAGGACAGTTCAAGGCTGTAATTCTCCAGGTGCATGTTCTTGAGGAGGAGTACATGACAAAGGTGGTCTGCAGTCACATTGCCCAAGGTCTATCATCCTGCTGAGGTAAATCAGGTAGGATGGGTTAGGGCTGGTCCTGAAGCTAAGGAGTTAATTGCACACATCCAGCAGGAGGAAATCATGACAAACAACTCTCCAATGTGAAGGGGGCAGAACAAGCAGCAGGGGAAAACTGGGTGCATCTCAGCCTGTTTGTTTGATTTTTCTCTTTTTTTACATAACTCTTTCAAATAGGTCATATTGTTGCACCTCTGGGAAGCTCTGCAGTAATCCAGGCAGCCCTGCTCCTTTGAGCTGGCCTTTTCCCCAGGCAGCTTTTAAAGATTAGGATCTAATGGCCAGGCTTTGAATATTTAAGAAGTTTGGACAGTGTTAGGGAGGCAGCAATGAGAGACTCTTGCAGTCTCTCATGAAAAATTGCATGTGTGACTGCATCTGTCAGTAAGCCCAAACATAGGAGTTAAATGGGATACAAATTTCTCTGAATCAGATGATTTTGGTGTGGTAATCTGTGTGTCTGTTTAGTTGTCTGAAAAGTGACCAGATCCAGAAAAAAAATGCACTGGCTGTAAAAGCAAAGGAGCTCTGTACTTTCAGAGTACTTTTCAGTACTTTGGTTTTAACAGGCTCCTACAATGCTAATGTGGAAAGGGACTTTCACATACACACAACTTGTAAGCATTACTTTTAAACCCCAAAAAAGTTGTATGTATTGTAGCTGCTTGTTGTAACTCTTCATGGCTTGATTGCAGGACATTGAGACTGAGATGAAGGTAAAAAAGTGATTTGAACATCTATGAGGACATACAGTCTTTAAATAAATGTGAGGCACAGTCAGCTGCTTTCCAACTTACTTGTTTTTTTTATTTTTAAGGCTCTAAAGGCTCCCATACAATGTAATTTGTTTGAGCACTGCAGTTTCTATGTTTTTTCCACCAGAAAAGGCACATTTTGTCCATACCATTCTCTTCAGTAAGCCATGCCTGACAGTTGACAGCATTCTACTAATTCAAAGGAATTTTTATTTATAGGATGAGTATGTTGACCTCTTTTTCACCTGGAGAATTGCCAGGTATTGTGCTTGCAATATTTCACCACCATGCTTAGAAAACTTCTGATAATTTAATTAACCTGGAAAGTTCAAACCTTGCTATCCATTCTTTGGTTGGTCAGAGTTCTTTAAACTGCTGCTGTTTTGGGCACTGCTATCTGGGTCCAAGCTAGAATTCTATTTAATTTCAACAGAGATTTTGCTTTTGATTGTAATTTTTACCTGAAATCTCTCAAAGCATGGAGTGTGGTTGTGCTATGTGAGCTAGATAATTATATCTATCTCCTCCTTATACAGACAGTTAATTGGATGTAACTGCTGCCTGAACAGAACTTTCTCTAGTTTTTTGAAGGTCTTCTGCACAAACGTGTCTATTATATGTGCTTCTGTGATGTAACAATACACAGAAACTGATTACAACTTTGTCCTCCAGTTATCCTTCTCTAGTTTTTTGAAGGTCTTCTGCACAAACGTGTCTATTATATGTGCTTCTGTGATGTAACAATCACATATACACAGCAACTGATTACAATTTTGTCCTCTAGTTATCCTTTACATTATTCCCAAAATTCTAGAGTAGATTCACATCACGTTTCACCCAGCATTCTTTTCAGTATCACACTTACACACCAGACTCTGCATTTTTTTCCATCTTTATCCTTCAATTAGTCCTCCACTTGTGAAATGAATGAAGTAGCTGATTCTATTCAGCCTGAGAAAACTGTCACAGTTTGGTGGTGGGTTTTTTTGTTTTGTTTTAAGAAATGTACCATTTCTTCCACTTGGAAAACAGTCAAAGGCAAACTACAAAATGGATCATTTTTGGTCAAAACAATTTCAGTCTAGTTTCCAAGCAGTAATTTGGTTGGAATATTCCAATATAATTTGCCATGCAGGTCCCTTGTTTTTGAGCTTCCTTACAAGGCTGCTCACACTGGAGCTCCTAGTTTCATTGGAGCACCCAGGACCCTGTGGTCTTTATCTGTTCTTAGTTTTACACTAAAAACTTTCCTTAAAAAGAAATTATTGCAATAATTTCTCCTATGATAATAATCAAGCAACATCTCCTGTGTGTGAGCCATCCACAATTTTCAGGGTTTCCCTCCTTGAGGTGCTTGTTCGTAAAACCTTCAGAGGTATGAGAGAGAAATGGGCTGACTGTGGTTTTTGGTTTCTTCCTTCTGTCTCCTGTGTAGTGATGCTGGTGTTTGGATGCATCATCTCCTCTCTCAGAACTGGTTTCACTGACCTGCATTTTTTTCATGAACTTTTCCTCACCTAGAATATTAAATGCAGATGTTGTTATTTTTTTTTTTTATTCCAGTTCTATTTTCTATTCCAAAGGAATTTTAGTGGTTTTCATTTTTTTTTACTACTTTTGGAGTTTTCTAACTCCTTAGAATTGATTTATTTATTTTAAAGTCTTCCAGCCATCTGATATAGTATCATTTTGACTTTTTCTGGTATTTCTCCAGGCTTCTCTGCCAAAATATGTTGTTCTTTATTCTTTGTCCCTGCTCTATCTTGAAATACTTTTTTTTTTTCTTTTATTAGGTGTATATTTCCTTATTCATTCTAGTGGCTTGTTTAAGGGCAATTAAGTTCATAGCACATACCACTAGTGTCCAGGAAACTTTGGAGCACTAATTTCTATACAAGCCTTCAGAAAAGAATCTTAGTATTGTTGAAAACAGTTCTCATGCGTGTTTGTGTTGGCAGTAATTGGAAGGTAGTAAAGAAAAATATTAAGACTACAGCCAGAGATGTGCCAAACAGCTCTTGAGAAGTTCAGGTAGCCATTAGAGGCTGTGTCCCAGCAGCCTGCTGGGGTAGATTTTTAATAGGAAAGTACTAATAGTATTAATAAGAAAGAGAAAGCCTGTGATGCTTGCATTCCACAGCTTTGTGAAAGTTCCCTTTTTGGTACTGATCTTTACCTCGGTTAAGCAGTTTGGTGATTTCAAATATACTTTTCTTCTTTTTAAAAGCATTTTGAGTGGTCTCTTTTGGACTTTTGAGTCAGCTTGTGTCCCAAGGCAAAGTATATTTCCAGCCACGAGGCCTCTTGGAAAATATAAATAACAGAAAATGTTAAAAAATAAAAAAAATACAGTGTACCCCAACAACCAAAATCAAAACCAACCAGGATTGTAAAGTAATTATGAAAAGTGTAGGGTATATGCATGTACCAAGTTGGTTTTATAATGTGTGTTGATGATTTCCTTCAAAAGTGTTTTCATATATCCTACAAAAGGTATGAAGCAAAAAAAGAGAATATTACTATAATTTACTCAAAGGCCTCACCAAGTAAGTCTTCAACACTCTGCTGAATAAGCTTCTTGTGCACAATAAGTCACACCTACATTCTCCTGCTGTTATTACCATTATCTAGTATTGTTTTGTATTGCAGTTAGCATGGAAATTGTGCTAATCACATACAAGGAAAACAATTCTTTTGAACTCTTTATTACCAAAGTAACAGATTTATATACTAAATTGCTGTTAATGCTGGGGTAAGCATTTCCCATTTCTCTCAGCCCTTCTTCCTAATTGATTAGGGAAAAGATTCCTCAAAGAAGCCCAGTGGTTTGGTTTTTTCCTTCTTTCCTTTTTCATTCCCTCCTCTTAAACCTGGTTTTATGACCATGCTGCTATCCAAGCACACTCTGCAGAGACAGAGAAGCTCTAGACATTGAGACAGTCCTACACAATTGTCAGCTCACCACCAGTATCTCCCCAACAATTGACCTGGAGCCCCAGGACTGTACTCAGCTGCTCCAGTCCTCCTATTGTGGTGAAAATCCATCTTCACCTATTTTCAGCTCTGCAATCTTCAGTCTTCTCTTTTTGCATGATTTGAAGAATGCAGGAGCAGCTGCATCTGCCAAAGTTCCATGTGGAATAGCAATTTCCTATGGTGGAAAAATATGCTCTGCACAGTAATTACTGTAAGTCAAGTCCACTTAATCTGCACAAGGGCTTTTATTGTCTTATGCATTTTGGGAGGATTTGGAAGGCCTAGTCTCTGAAGTTTGTAGGCTAGCAGTCTTAGAGGTGTGGCACATGTTAGACTGCTGCATATATTGGGTAGCAGAGTTTTGGCATCATAGGTGCACAGATACAAAGTTGGAATATAGACTCCAATTTCTCATTAATAAGTCTTGCTAGACATGGGATAATTATTACATAGGTCCCCTATTTCCCCTTATTAACTTTGCCTTACATACTTTCCTCAACTTCTAAGCGTTTTTTCCCCTCCCTTGTGGTTTGCATAGAAGTGCATAGAGTGGCAGCAGGTGTTCTTTTTTTTTTACCATTTGATTTGAATTTTTCAGATCCTTCACCTGATGTGCAAAACCAGAGACTTTAAATGGTTTTCTTTGAAAAGCTACACCATGACTTTAAAATTACACTTAGATCCATAAACCATCGAATCGTGAGCTCAGCCTAACTTTCTCTTTCTCTTTCTTTCAGTTTTCAGTCAACTAGTTACTTCTCTTCATCTCCAAAAGTGGTTTGTTGTTTTTCTTGTACTGCTGCAGCCATTGCTATTGTTTCAGGATTGAACCTGGCAGAGGAAAGGAGCCTGTGATGCTTGGGCACCTGTAAAAACATCTACCACAAAAATATAGAATTTCATATACTTTAATTTTCAAAAGTTTCTTTTTAACATTATTAACAGAAGGCTCCCTTAATTGCCTAAGCTAAACTATGGACATTTTTTTATTACTTTCTTTTTTTCAATTTTGTTTATATGTTTGCATGACCTGAAATCCCTATGTGTAAATTTTAGTTCTCTATTTCAGTCCTGTCATAGTTTTCTCAACTGTGGTTTGATATTTTGCAGAGATCCTAGTGATCCCTTGACCACAATTTGAAAAACACTGCTTGGAAAATATTTTGTCTTCTTGCTTTATTCTTTTTATGGAGTTAGAAAACTGATGGCTCCAAGTTCATTGACTTAGGATTTTTGAAAACAAGAGTGTTTGCTATGAAGAATGTTGCCTGATGCAACTCAAAGTAGGGAATATCAGCTCAGGAGGACAATTTACTTGTACAAAAATTAGCAAAACTCTTGACTTTGTTCCAAAAGCCTCCACAGTCTTGTCCAGCTTGTGCTTTTCTACCTGACAGAGGCATGTCAATCCAGCTTGCAAAATATGAAACCCTTTCATATTCAGGTGAGATCCAGATATGCTGACTGTAGATCTTGATCTCAAGGTCAGGAATCCCAGGAAACACTCTTCATACTTCCCTTCTGGTTTCATACACAGGGTCAGAATAGATTATTATCATCCATAAGGTCAAATCAAACTCCCAGTAAAACAATCGAATGTGCCATGCCGAGCTATCAATGATCAAAATTAGGATAATAGCTCTAGATAAAGTGCTCCTGCTGTGAAGAAAGCAGGAAAAGGTCTTTGGAGTCTTCTATCCCTAGGCATGCATTAATTTGTACATTGTATAAAACATATCTTCTGGTTATTACTCTAAAAACCCCAGCATGTTAGAAAATATTCATTCATGCTTCAGTGATTCTTCAGAGGAAATCACCAGCTGCTCTGCTACAGTTCTTTGGAGAATGACCTTTCCTATCAGCTGAGAATACTTCTTGACCAAAAAAGTTACTGTGCCACGTACCAAATGTAAATGATAACTGCTCAGGTCCAATTTTTAAAAGCTTGTATTTGTTTAAGCAATTTGAAGTTGGCCATGAAGAAGATTCTATTTCTAGGACTGATTATTTAGTATATTATTTGTTTAATGTCTCCTTCCTGAAGTAGAGTTGCTCAAAATGGTCTCACAGCATGATTGAATAAATGTTAAGATTATTCCAAACAGATTTTTTTAAAGCTCAGACCAAGTCTATGCTTCATTTAAAAATATCCACAAATTATCCATAATGTATCTGCTCAGCATACGAATCTTTTTAAGTATTTCCCTTAAAAAGGAAAAGAAAACCCTAGAAATAAAGGCAATTGCTTATGTAAGCAATTTCAAAGCTCAGTGTTGTCTTAGAAGTACTATGGGTGGAAAACAGTTGCTTGGTACTGCATGATTAGTCCAGTGAGGTTAATTAGTGAGCTGTTCAGGTTTTGCAGGAGCCAAGAAGAAAAGAGAGGTAATCCAAAGTTTGGACTGAATTATTTTGTCTCTTGTAGGGAATTGCCAATGGAGTTTACAAATTTCTGATCATGCAGAGGGTAGAATGGGACTTTTCTTCAGAAAATTGCTGTTTGGAAACAATTTCAGTGATGTATTACAATGCTGTTACAGCCATGAGCTACCAAGTGGATCTCTCAGTGATGAAAAGACAGTGTTGAGAAAGTCACCAAGTCAAAGCATATGAGAAGGTGTAGGTGGCATGTGTGGGACAGGTTATTGCTTCCAGCTCATGGGGAGGGCATGAAGAGGGTGCTGCTGGCTGGGTGCACACTGGGTGCTGCTCAGCAGGGTGCTTTGGCATGGAGGGTGTGCAGGTCCTACAGGGAGGCACTGAGCCATTGCTGAGCAGCAAGAAACTCCCAGGTACTGCCAGCCTGGAGCCAGGAGAGCTGAGAAGTGACTTGCTGGGATAGCATGTGCTGGGAGGAAGGGAATAAAGTCTGCTCCTGGCTCTGCCTCCTAGCTGTGTCCCGTGTCCCCCCTTGTAACTCTCTTTCCTATCTCATCTTTCTGGTGTCTTCTGTGTAACAGTTTTAGGTCTGCAACTGTCTTTCAACAGCCATGTACCTAAAGCTTCTCATTTGAAGTGTAAGTTGATCTGAGCTGCTGAGTTAGTAACCATCCAGTCTTGCCCATCCATCACTGTTAATCAGGTAATGAGGGGTGGGAGAGGCTTCAGCAGAGGAGAGCCTGGCTTGGATTTTTTTCATCCATCTTCTTCCATTTTCACAGCACTGTGTTTGACTCCCAGAACAGCTGTGATGGAAAGAGATCATGAAATAGTACAGACTGATGTTATGTGACATTACTATGAGAAGATAAAGAGATGCTGCACAATATCTTTTCATTGCTTCATACTTTGACTATTAACATGTATTGGAGCAGTTGGATCTTTGCCTTGGCTGAGCTCCTGACCTAGAAGACATGCCCTGTGTTTCACCACTGGCTCTGTCTCACTGTTGGTGGGCCTAAGAGGCGTTGAATTGTAGGTTTAAAAAATTGTACAAATAAACAGCAAGGTGTTTTACTCAAGTCTCTGCTTATCAGATTGCTTCTGACCTCACCTGAGCTGCTCCCTTTGCCAGAACTGAAACGTGTGTGAGAGGAGACAGACTTAAAACCAGTGGTGCATTAAATCAAACATTAATAGTATGCATGCAAAGGATTATCAAAATGCCTGGTAAATTAGTGTTCAGAGAGGCCTTCTACAGTTAGGCCAAAAGATGTCTAGGTGTTTTCAGAGCAAGAAATGAGGCCTTTTTGCTCTTCCCCAGGAGGTGAGTAGCAAGGTGTGTGTTGGCAGTTTGTCTGCTCCAGTCTCTGGAAGAATCTTTTGTTTGCAAAATTTTTATCTCTTCTATTTTATTCCCCAGTTATGAATTCCACGTGAAACCTCGAAACCCTCTTGGTGAAGGTCCAAGTAGCAATGTCGTGGCATTCAGTACTGAGTCAGGTAAGGACTTCCAAAGGTTTGACCATCATTTACAGCGGGCTAGTGTGTTCATAGGCATTTTTGCTACCTGTTCAGAAGGCTGCTGGGTAATAGCCACGTCTTTTGGCTGAAGTACAGATTGAGAAATAGCAGTTGGGACAAGCTGATCTCCTAGTATGTCCTCTTCCATCCTGTTTACTCTCCTGTGAAACTCTTAAAGAGGTGTATACAAGCTTATTTTGACCATTGGTTGGTTCCCAAGTCGAGTCCTATCTGATTCAGAGGTGAGAATCAGAGCATTGCTTTCCTTTGCTTTCCCTATTCCAGTTCCTCATGGGGCTAACTCCAGCTGACTTGACTTTATACCAGCAAGATACCACCTTTTGTGTAGAAGCATTTATTGCCTGGGGGTACTTAAAGACCATATAATACACAAAATGGATTTAGCTTTTTTAAAAGGCTCAAGCTGCATTTTGACCCTGGTGTAATAATGTCATAATTCTCCTCTAGAGCTGTCACTGACAGATGAGAGTTTTGGCTGAGCAAGGGATTAGTCAGGGAGGAGTTCAGACTGTGTCACACGTATTTAAAAACTGTGAATACACTCTTTGTAATCCTAGATTGTTAGAGCTGAAAAAAAATGTATGCCAAGTGCAGTTTTCATGAATGACAAGGCTTATGTTCTGACTTCTATTTAGCTTGGACAAATTAAGCAGTTGGGTTTATTTTTTCTAAGTTGCACACATCCATTTCTCACTTTTGGGCTTTCATCACCACGTTTTGTGTGGCAAGCATTACACAGGGGTCCTTTCTATTTAAGTTTTGAAATTGCAATTTTAAAGAAGATGATGCTGTAGAATTGGGTTTTGCAGGTTACACGTTTAAACTTGTTTTGACTAGAACTGTGACTGGTATTGTCCCATAAGTCAAACTTTTAAAAGCTCATTGATGCTGTAGTTTCACGCAAGAAACGTATTTCTTTTCATCTAATTTAATACAAAACTGAACTTCCAAAACTCTGCTTCACAAATTGCAGCTTCTGTCAGCTGTAGAAAATCACTTACCAATGCTTTTCCACTGAAATATTGCAGTGTCTGACTGAGTGTTCATTTTCTTCCCCCAGCGGACCCAAGAGTGAGCGAGCCAATTTCAAGTAAGTCTTTTATGTATAAAGTCTTTTAATCAGGATTTTTTCAGAAATGAGATTGCATAATTTTACAAGTAGGGGGTGGCTGCACTGCACCAATTAAATGAGTTATGGAATCAAGCAGCATTCACACATGATTTCACTCCTTCCACCCATACCCCTAGTAAGGAATCCATGCCAGGCTGCTTGTTTATCTGAGCAGAACACAATCAACACGATGTGGTGCTCCTGTGGCAGCTGGGATGGCTTCAAACCAAGGTACACAAATGAGCCAGGGACAGCTTCATATTTTCTCAGCCTTGTCATTATGCAAAAGGAAGATTTGTAAAACAAATAAGCTACTCCACACTTTTTAAGGGAGCTAACAGAGTACAACTCAGAGGATATTTATCTGCCATTGTGGTTTAGGAAAAAAAAACAACCCATCTGTAGGCTTGATTCAGCTCTGCTTTAGGCCACTTGCTGTCTTGGGTCAGAGATGGACTGAGCTTTTGAAGAATAGCTCAGATTGTCCAAAAAATTTAGCCATTTGTAAGTGACAAATGCTGAGACATGATTTCTCTCCACACAATTCATGACACTTTTCTGTGTAATCTGTTAAATCACGGATGGTTTGCTGCAAATTGACTCCCATGGCTTGAACCCAGTGAAAATAGTGACTGTATCAAACACTTTGTAAGTAGGAGCTCTGCCCACACACAGACATGGTCCCCCTAACAAGGTCCTAGAATGAGCTTATTCCAAACTGGCACCACACACAGAGCAGAAGCTCACCGCATTGAGTGTCACTGCACCCTTTGGTGCCTCCCTGAAACACCTTTCCTGTTCAAAATGCTGCTGCCATGGTGCATTCTGCTCCACCAAGGCTTCTAACTCTATTGATTTGAATATATTTGTGGCACATCATTCTGTATGCAGCCTGAAACACCTTTCCTGTTCAAAATGCTGCTGCCATGGTGCATTCTGCTCCACCAAGGCTTCTAAGTCTATTTGAATATATTTGTGGCACATCATTTTGTATGCAGCATCATCTGTTGGCCTCTCCCTTCCTCTCCTGCAGTGGGAAAGGATGCTATCTGGACTGAAATCCCCTTCAACTCAGACACCTATTCAGAATGCAAAGGGAAACAATATGTAAAGAGGACTTGGTACAAGAAGTTTGTAGGCGTGCAGCTTTGTAACTCTTTGAGATACAAGATATACCTCAGTGATTCACTTACAGGTAAGAGATGTTCACATCACGTTGTCACAATGCCTTATCCACATTATGCACTCCTTAAAGATATTCATGGTTCCAAAATTAAGGTGTTTTAGCACAATGAGCATTGCTGAAGTGTGATCAGGTATGTTTAATCTAGTCTATACACTCATTAGCCATAAACAGTAATCTGCTTGTGCTCAGTAAACATTGATGTGTTTGACATTGAATTTTCAGACTCATGAGTTACCTCCCTGGCTGCTGATCACCTGATTTTAAGTACCTGCTGGTATGCTGGGGGTTATACTGAAAACTGATTAAAATCATGTCTCTCTGCCAGTGAATAGCATATATTGTAAAGGTGCCAAATTTGTTTTTAAAGACAAGCCTGGAGTAGTTCTTAATTAGAGGATCTCATTTTAGACCATGATTAGCCTCAGTCATTCCCATCCCACTTGGTAAACACCTGGTTACTTCACTACTGTGAGGCTCATAAATACAACTTCAACTCTAGTCAACAGGTTTCATTCACCTGCATTGACATTTTTTGGTTTGTTTTCACAATCCCTTATAATCCCTTCCTCCCCCCCACCCTCTTCTTTTTCATACATTATTTTATTACTAACAGCAGCCTCCTGGCCTTGTCTTCTCAAGTTTTGTTCACTGGCTTAAAGTCAGCTAGAGTGTAAAGTGCCCAAGACCTGAATCAAGTGGCACAGGGTGGGGAAACAGCCTGTAAAAAGTGTTTTCCAGTTAGTTGATAGTGAAGCAGAACTTTGTGTCTTACGTAGACTGCACAAGCTATATTTAGAAATATGTTAACTTCTTATAATCCATCCCAAGCTCCTGGCATTCTTCTGTTTGAGCTCTTTTATCAGAGTTGCATGGACAACTCTACCCCAGTGTGCTGGTACAGCATCCAGAGCACAAGTGTAATACAACAGTGTATTGGAAACACCTTTTGAGTCCAAGTTAAGCAGTGAAATTCACCACATGGTATAGAACTAACTAGGAGAAACTGTGGCTGAAAGAATCAACCTGCATGACACAAAGCTGCCCCATCTCAGAGCTCAGCACCTCAAAGGAGCAGGGCTCTGGTCTCTGTAGGTAGGGACATGGAAAGAAAAGAGCAGGGCAGTGTAGAGCAGCCCATGCCAATAAAGTTTTAAGCTGCCCAGCCTCACACCCAGCACCATTCCCCCATGAGCAGCCAAGGAAGGAAAGCCCTGCCATTAACATCAAGTACAATACCTCATACAGAAATAGTATCTGGCAATAATTTGAATAAAAGAGGCTGTTTTGAACAGAGGTATCGTTCATCCAGCTGTTGCTGGACTAACCAGCTGTGGTCAAATGGCAAACACTGGCAATGAGGCACAGTGGATCACAAAAGCAGGCAGAGAGGAAATAGCTGTGCTCATCTAGCAGGACTACAGCCCTAAATCAAAGTGAATTAACACTGCAGTGAAAGCTGCTTCTATCTTGGAAGTTTAAGCTATCAGGAGCCCCTTTTCCTGTTTTCATTAGATGGTTTTTGTTCTTGCTGGAAGAGTGGGGATTTAACTTGGCTGGAGAAGGATGATGGTAGCCACAGTGTATTCATGAGGCTTGCTGAGCCTGCTCCTTGCACTTGAGTAGTTACAACCAGTGTGGACCAGTTGTCACAACACCTGAAAGAACAGAAATATTTATGTAGAAGGAAAGCTGCTCCTAGGAGAGACTGTCATGGCCCCGAGGCCAGCAGTGAAGGGCTGTGCTGAGGTCTGAGCTTCACCTCACACTGAAAATACCTTCTGAAGTTTTGCTGTTTAAGTAGTAGAATGATCTGGAAATTCAGGTGCATTGTACAAATGCTGTTGTGTAAGACAGCCAACAACTGTACCTTTGTGTGCTGGTTTTTAGCATTAATTTGTACTTCTTGTGTTGCAGAATTCACAGTGTATGAAAAAAAGATGGCATCTCATTTTCTTAAGACCATCCATAAGGGAACACTGAAAAAAAAAATTCATTTACTTTATACTAGAATTCCTATCCCCAAAAGAGAGAGACTAATCTAGTCATTTGTTAGCTAAATGTTTTTAAGTGTGTTCCTTTATTATGGAAAAGAATTGGGTAGTAAGAATTTAATAGTCACTGGGAATGCTGCTAATTTATGTATAGCAATAGTCTGAGTGCTGCACTGGTTATGCTGTGGCCCAGAAGAGTATGTGTGTATCTGGAAGTTACTGGTCTTGTGTTAGCCATAAAAATATCTGGTTTATTCTGTCTCTCATGAAGAAATGCCAGGACTGTTCTATAAACCAGCATCTACTGCTGACCTCATTTAACAGTCCTCCAGAGCAGTCACTGTAGGCATTCCAGAAAAGCAGGCCACCAAAAAAAATGTATTTATTGAGGAGAGGAGAAAAATAAATTCTAAGTGTGACCTTCAACAGCCATGGAAAAAAAAAAAAAAAAGCCATTTTGGGCAGCCTGAATGTTCTTAATTTCAGACCAAAAAATTGCTGAGAACTCCCTCTGACCAGTTCTCCTATGGAAAAAGAATGCCTGCAGCCAAAACTAGAGAGTCATAAATAATTTTCTAAAGCTAGAAAAGAACTGCATGCACAGAGACCGTCAGCTGGAGGTGAGAATTTTTGGCAAACTATTGATCAGATCATAAAAAATGTGAGTTTATTGGTAGGTGGCTTTTTTATGAATTGTTTTTTTAAGGAGCAGTGTTCTAAGGGAATTTACTGTCTCATAGATAGCCAGACTGGCACAGCTTCAAGGCTACAGAACACTCCACACCTAAGGAGCAACTGGACTTTCTGCTTAGCTGATACCTGAGCATTAAATCTGTTTCTAAACACAGTCACGTTTCCTTTCAACCTCACAACCAAAGGATGAACATAATAAGAAAAATTGCTGTGAAAGGAGTTTTTGATAACAACAAAATTTCACTTACTGTGTAAGGAGAACTAAGAATACGTTCAGGCATAGCTCTTGGGCTGGAAAGGGGAACTTTTGTCCACAGCCATTGGTGCTGTACTTGGAGTATGAACCCAACGTTCAAATTACAGCTACAGGTTCTGAGAGGAGAAGAATTCACCTTGGCATCCCCACGGTGAAGAGCACAGCCCATTGCCTCTGGTGATTTTTGGCAAGAGCCCTCACTAAACTGGATAGGGATTCTCAACTTTGCTGCTTCTTTGCTTTCAGGAAAATTTTATAACATAGGAGACCAAAGGGGCCATGGAGAAGATCACTGCCAATTTGTAGACTCATTCTTAGATGGAAGGACAGGACAGCAAGAAGATCTACCAGTTAAAGATGGTAATTCCTTACACCTCTCTTTTTGGCAGTTCCTTTGAGTGTTTCTTTCTCCTGCTGGGGACTCAGCATGCATTGCTGGGGTGGGCTATGGGAAGGGGCTACTGGCCTTGCAGGCAGAAGAGAATCAAGAGGGTTTTGAAACTGAGGAACAACAAAAAGAAGGTTATGACTTGGGATCTGTTAGGTAATTAACAGTCTCTCTCATGTTTAAAACATTCTAACAGATTATTCACAGTTGGTACTACATATTTAAACCCAACCACAAACCTGAGTTTGCAGAGAGGCATGAGGGGTTATGCTCCAACTAGCAAGGCTAGTTTAAAGTGCAGTAAATCACTATTCAGGCATTAAACAGCTTTGTTTAGTGCTAATGAGAAACTGAAAAGTTATTACTGGAAAATATCATGCATGCTGCAGTGATTCTGTGTGCACCAGTTTGAACTGGGTGCCTAGAATTGGAGCCTGGTCTAAGTGGGCGGGGGACTGGATGCCCCAAACACAGCTGGGACCTGCCTGGCTATTTTTTTTCCCACGTGGCTGAGGCTTGAGCATAAGCAAATTGTATTTCTGTCAGCCCAGCTCCTGCCTTGCTTGTTTGCAGCAGTGTCAGGGTGAGGTGTTCCATTCCCTTGGGGGGTATAAGAACACTGGCTGCATTGATACACGCCTGTCACGGAACATTTCACTGAGCAAAACACCCAAACAGTTTTCAATACAACATCAGTGTGTTGACCAAACCTTCCTTCATTTATAAAACACTTTAAGAAATACAGAAAGGCCTCCAGGTAGGTGTGGGAGATTAAAGTTAAGTGCCTAAATCTTTCACAAGTTTTTCCAAACACAAAGTAGGTGAGGATCTGAAAGCTGTTTGCTAATGTGATGAGTTGTTGTAGTGGGTTTTTTTTTAAGAGGGTTTTGCTTTTCCTTTCCCAGTCAGTGTTGCCCATCTGTGAAGTTATTTTGTTTGTGTAAGGGATTTGGTGTTGCTGGGGCAACAGACCTCTCAGTTGTACCAGATTCAGTTTTTAAAAAATATTTTTATAAATAAAAAAACCCTTTACATAAAAAACTCTCTACTCCAGCTGAGAAGACATTTAAAACCAATTTCTTTTCTGTGACTGGATTTAATCTAATGGGATTCATGAACCACATTCAATTTTTTGAAGAAAACCAACTACAGCCCAAACAAACAACAAAATGATCAATCAAACAAGAAAAGCCTCCACATTTTCTGTAGCTTGTTTCTGGTGAATGAGCTGAACAGAGGAAAGCACAGATGGGTTGTCCATCGCTGCTCAGCTCCACCCTGGCTACAGCAAGTTGAGTTCTGTTCAAAGTGGAATTAACTACATGTATTTGACCTGAAGAGCAGGGAGGGAACCACCACCTGCTGCTCAGCTGCAGGACAGCATTTTGTGTGTGTGTTTATGCTACAGCCACACACACGTTTCTGATGGTTGGGTTGGATTCAGCACTAATCACTCCCTTTAATTTTAATTAATTTAACTTGTTTGAATGGGAAGCACGTGGATTGTCACACAGAACAGATTTAAAGCAGGAGGTACAATCTTTCACTTGGGAAATAATGTGAAATCTCCACAGCTGTCCAGTTTTATTTAGGTTATTAGTGTTAAGGCTCCCACAGCAGGGACTATTTAAGCATCTCAGCTTCACAAGGAGCCCTCACCATTACTTGAATCATATAGAGGCTTCCCAGGGAAATCAAAGTAAGGCGCTGCCTGAGGGCTTCACACAAATAATACTCTGTTCTCTGTTCCAGGATTTTTCAGGGCAGTTCGTCAGGAACCTGTCAAATTTGGAAAGATAGGCGGGGAGACCCAAATTAACTACGTTCGCTGGTACGAGTGTGGCACGTCGATCCCTGGGAAATGGTAGATGGGAGATGAACTTGGTGAAAAGGCCCAGCACTTCCCACCCCTGCCCAGCTGCCCAAGGCAGGCTCAGAGATGGAAATGTTTATGGTCTGCCTGGCACTTCAGTTCCCTGGTGTGCAAGGGTTTATGCAAGTCCAATGCCAATACTGCATTAATTGTGTAATAGCGTTAGGCTGCTTACTGTAGTTATCCTGTTTGACAAATTTTAGATGAAAAGAAAAATCCCAGACAGGCTAGGGACATGTTGTAGGATAATGTATAGGGAAGCTGGCTCCCTATTCTTGAGGTATGGTTTCTATGGTATTTTAAAAGATACGGTGTGTATATTATTTATCATCATGTTGTAATAAATGTTTAAGGCACAGTTATTGGCAGAGGTGGGCGTGGAATGCAACGTGCATTAGGTTTTAAATATTCACTGGTCTTCTTATAACCATAAGCTACCTGTCCAGATAGATCTGTAATGTCTCCTTCACTGTAAATTATAGAAAAAACCCTAGTTTTGAATATCCTGCCACCAGCTAACTTGAAGCACTTCCTCCTTACACCTACAAACACAGTTTATGCCCCTGCCAAAGCGCTGAGGTAGGTTGCTACACGTGCAGCTTTAAATGATCAGGTTAGTGTTTGGGGTCTTTTTTTTACCATGTTTGTTTGCAAATGCTTCAGCTCCAGCAAGAGTATGTTCAGCCTGTTGCTACAGAGGGAGGGCCACTGCCCGTGAGCTTGGCAGAGGCTGGTTAGTGGGTCTGGTTTCCTCCAGTTACAGCAGAGACGTACAGAGGCACCTGGAATAAAATGATGGAACTGGCCTCCACAGCCATGGGAGTTTCATGAAAATGTATTTCTCAGAGACTGAGATCTACAGGTTCAGAAGCCAAATGTATGTACCGTGCAGGGGGACTTGGAAACAGAAATGAAACAGGGAAAAAAAAAAATAAGCTACTTATCACAGCATAATCAGGTTTATTTTATTGAAAAAAAAGAAAGAAGTGGTTTAAAACATTGCTCATTCGGGACAGAGAGGAAGTAGTGATAACTGAACTTCAAAACTGCTTTAAAGTAATTCTCATTAAAACCTCTCCCAAAGCTACTTGTTGTACTGCTTGAACATTTATGAACTAAATAAAGAGATGTAGTTTTTTTTTTTTAAAGGTGTTATTCATTACATTACTAATGTATTGAAAAAAAAAATATGAACAGGAACACCCAGATATATATATAGTAGAAATAGACATTTATAGAAGATGCCTTATAAAGTACATTGCAGGTACACTGTACTCCTAATAAAGTATTTTTTAATCAAGTGTTTTTCCTAGTGTTTTACGTGAAAAGAAGGACTAGTTTCTGTGGCAAATGCCATCATTTCAAGAAAGAGTTTGATCTGACACTTTGAGTGGTGTGACAAGCACCTGATGGGTTAGGGCTGACAGGGGCACAAACAGCCCAAGGTACAGCTGGTGTGGGAGCAGCAGTATTGAAGGATGCTGAAGGTATGAATGATTTCACTCCCTTTATTTCCTAATTTGCCTTGAGAAGAGTTCAAGCACCTCGCTCCAGTTCACTTTCTCTAATTCCCTGTTTAGTTTTATGTATTCCTAGAATCCATAAGATGGAAAATATTAACTGGGAGAAGGTTTTGTCCACTGCTGTTATATGGTCTACTGAATTTGTTACAGCTCTCGAGCTGCTTTTTCTTGGCTCAAAACTGAGTCACTAGAATTGCACTCCCCAGTTTTTCTGGGTGGTAAAGAACCTGTGGAAAGTCATTCATTTTTAAGAGTTCTTTTTTAAAAATACATATTTGGCTTAAATTTTCAAGTAATAAACCAGTTCTCCCCCTGCCCTTGTTAAAGTGAAACTGGTTAAGGGTCTCTAAGATTTTATGTATTGGCTCTTATTCATTTGGTAAAAGGGTTCCTTGGCAATTAATAACATCAGACAGTGCCAAACCATCTCCTGCTGCATACCCTCTGCAAAAGCCATTTGTATGTGCAACAGTTCTCTACTTACACACCTAAACATCTGTCTCTCCTCCTACAGAACCTAGAGCACTGCTGATCTTTACCTCAGTACCTGTACACCCAGCACTGCACGCTTGTCTTAACACAGGTTTCCTGTTTAGCTTTACCCAAGGCCTAAAAATCAAGACCAGGCATTTGATAGATTCAGGGGTTTTATTAGTTTCCAATGTGAGCATTACAATTTATAATACATCACACCTAGTTTTACCTCCAGAAGGAATCTAATTTAGTACATCACGGTATTAGTAAAATCAAGCCTGATAAGTGGGCTAAACTTTCAACTAGCATCTTCATGGCCTTCCAACAAGGCGAGCTAGACTGTCAATCACTTTACAGACATTTAGGTAGTGTTTCCCAAAGACAACCCAGCCCCAAATTAAACTAGGAAGCAGATACGAATTGAAGCAGGAAAGATTCATTTGGTGGTTCCCCTCCCCCCAGCAGAATGTCGTTAACAGCTACGGCTCTGCCTCGTTACAGTGTTGGAACCTCAGTTAAGGATCCCGGAGTCTGTTGGGATGGAAGCTCGGGGGCGGGCGGCTCCCTCCTTACCGGTAGCCGGGTCCGGGCTGGGTGTAGCCCTGGGGGCCGAAGGGGGGCCGGCTGCGGGCGTAGGGGTTGGCC